CCCCAAAACCCCAAAACCCCAAAACCCCAAAACCCCAAAACCCCAAGCTTTGGATTCAATATTGAAATAAATCTCAATGAAACCCTTTACGAAAATTATGTAAGTTCGTACAATGTAAAGTTTTCTACAAGATTAATAATGATATCAATGCTTAATTTTCCTCCTGCTGCTTATCTTCCTTAACCTTCTGCTCGAGAGACTCGATCTCACTCTTCTCTAAATTAATCAAGGTCTCCAGCCTTTCTAAAATATGCTCTGCTTGCTTTGTGACAAAGCTATCGTTGCCATTGAAGATGACAGAGTTTGTTTTGAGGAGGTACATATCCTTCTTAAACTCTTCTAAAGACATGTACTCACACCTCTTAGCCTTGGATTTGATCTTGTTTAGATCTATTGGATTCTTCACCATTTCATAATAAGTAGGGAAATCTGCCTTCTTCACAGGATCGTGGAATATTCTGGTGTTATCAAAGGTGATGCAACTATCAACCAAGTTAACAAATACTCCATTGTTAAGTTGACTCAAAGGAGTATTTTGCCTCCTTCTTGAAGACGCAACAGGCTTCTTTGGAGGATTAAGGTATATATCTTCATTATTCTTCTTAGGCTTAGATTGTTTCTTTTGAGCATCCTTTTTCTTATTCCTGCCACTTGCGTCTCCAGTCTGGAATGAAATCTTGCCGTAATCTTGGTCGTCATCTAACAAAGAGTGGTTAAAACTTAAAATATTACCTTCTTCTTTTCTTTCTTCTCCAATAATTTTCAGTGAAATTTTATTCTCTTTCTTATCCTTTCTTAAGCTAAATTTACTGCTTTCATATCCACTTCTATAGCTTTCAATATCGCCTTCTTCAACATCAGGAGCGAGCCTGAAGCTGATATTTGAGTTATCATTCTTCCTAAACAATAAGCAAGAGTATATTACGATTTAGAAAGTCCGAAGACACTGGTATCTCTTAAGTTCTTCTTTGGCTTACTTCTTCTAAAGAATACAAGTTAGATAGAAATTTCAGTCCTGACTTAGAATTTTTGTACTTACCTCTTGCCTTTGCATTTTTCTATTCTCTTCCTGAAACTTTTGATGTGTCTATCATCGAAGATATACACAATCCTTTTCTCAGGTTTGTTGGTTATTGAATTAATCGAAGTAATCACTTTCTTGAGAACAGTGCATTCATGACTTCCTTCCTTGAAAGAGTCAACAAAGTCTTTCATATTCTCTCTGAACTCCTTATTGTAACCTAGAAAGTAAGACTTGAAGAGATACCTGGGATATCATGGATCGAATTGATGTCTTTGACTTTGTCAGATTCAAGGTATGTTTTAATATCTCCCATGTTGTTCTCATCTTTGTTATTCTCTTTGCTTTCAGCTTCCTTCTGGCTGCTTTTCATTCCTTTCTGAACGCTATCTTTCATCATAGTTTTAAGACCCTCTTCTTCTTTAGAACTTTCGATATCTGATCCTGACTCTATCTCTGGATCTGGGTTTGCAATGTATTTTAGCTAAAATAGTAAGATAAAAAGCTACTTGAGTATCAAAAATTTCATCTATTTGGTCTTGATAGCCTTCTCTCTGCATTTTAGAAGTCATTCTAGACCCTCTAGCGAATTTCTTAAATGTTCCTGCAACTCCAAAGGAAGCTGCTTTAGAGGAGTGGTCTCTGAGAATCTTTACTCCATCCCATCTTCCAATCTTGCTGATATCAAACTGTTTGTCATATCCGAACCCAATAAGATATTCATGGATCTGCTCCTTTGAAAGTGTTCTCAGATCGGCTTCTGTTCCTGTCACACTCTTGGAAGCAACAGCTTCTATACGAAATGTGGTAAGCCAAAAATCTCAAAATTTTTAATCAAAAATTTGCTTCAGTAAATTTTGAAAACTGATTGATACTTTGTGATATTGAAAATCTTTCAAGAAATTCCTTCAATCTTTATTGTAAATTCTTGATATGCTCTTTGTAATGGGCGAATAAGGCTTTACATTCTCAAAGAAATAGAATAAATGCTACCATTAAGACTTTCAGATAGTTTTCTATTTCTAAAGCTTATAAATAGCTCAGCAAAGGCTTAAATTTTGCAGGTTGATATCACTCAGTTCCACAATAGATATAGAAATTCTCTAAGCACTTACCTTTATTAAGAGAATCTTGAGACATTTTGAGTGGCAATTTCAGATAAGAGTATCCTCCATATCCCCTTGAAGGATCTCCGATTCCTTTCAAAGTCATCATACCGCTAGATTGATTAAGTGTGGAAACTTACTTGCTTTGCTGATTATTGATGAAGTTCTGAGATAGATTCCATGGAGTTCATAGCACTTCTTCCTTAATAATCATTGCTAATCTCTTATAGTATGGATCAGTCTCTTCTGAGCAAAACTTTTCAGTAGCAAAGGTAATTTTATTAGCATTTGTAATCCTTTCGATTCCAAGGTTGTAAAGTCTATTGACTCCAAACTCTCATGACTCATACTGACAGGTCTAAAAAATAAAAGAAAAATCTTACATTTTCAGGAGTGATCAAGTTCTTAATCAAGTCTTCAATAGACTGATCTGTTGAAAGATATCATGTTTGATCCATATTGACGCTGATGTGACTATCCTTCAAAGTTTTCTTGAGTACTTGCTCATTAAAGATTGGGAAACATTTCCTCATCTCATAGAAACTAATCTTCTGTCTGGGTCTGTTTTGTATCAATCTTAATGCAAAAGCTCTGACTCTATTCTTTAGAAATACATTATAGTTCCTTGATTGAGGAGCAAAGACTTCTTCCTTTGGCTCAAGTTGGCCGACTGTATAGATTTGCTTCATCTCTCTTAAATGCATTTCTCTCTAGGGCTATTAGATCCACTAAATCTTACCTTTCCTTTGTTATTCACATGAGTGATTCACACAAAATCGGTAGTTTTTGGCTTTTGATAAGTCACTGGAGCAATATACATGTTGTTCTCTAAAACAGCCAATCCTTGATACTTCTTTCTATCAATTTGACCGATCAAAGGTAACTTGTCATCATCTTTTAAAAGAATTTGCTGCCCATAGTATCCAATGTGTCTGGTCTGCGCCATTCCTTTAGGAGGTTCTTTAAAATATTTTAGGGGTAGCAAGCTATCTGAATAAACGTATCTCTTGAGCCTTGAGGCCATACCGTAGTTATTGATGAACAATGGGTGTTGATCAATATGCTCAAATACCAAGAACTTTCCTTGTTTCAGAGTGAGCTTGGACCTACTACTGAAGTATTCATATGCATTCCTGATTCCAGTTTCTAAAGATTAGCATAAACTTTACTTTTCAGCTTTTTCTTTAGCCTTCTGTTACATGACAGAATAATCGGGAGTGACAAAATTTTGTTCCTCAGTCTATTCTCAAGAGCGTAGTTACTTCCTGCTATCTGCATCGCTAGCTTTTCACGAGTAGACATCTCATTGTTGTTGTTAGTTCCTTTCTCTTGAGATATCTCTTTAAATGTTTCTCCAAGGTCAGGTCTATGGAATCTGGTAAAATTCTCGATATCAAAGTGCTCAAATTTAAAGCACTGTGCATGCTGCAATAAATCTGATGTCGTGCTTGAACTAGTCAATGTATTTGAAACCCCTATTTAGATTAAGTTCAGAACAACATTCAAATTTTGAGCAAAAATGTAAAAGCAAAGTTGATTGTGATTGAAATTCTTACCTCCAAATACCCCATCTCTCACTTTATATTTCCTTTCTTCTTCAATAGTGTCAGAGTCAATGCTGCTAATTTCATCTAGCTCTTTGGAGTCATAATCTTCTGTATTCTGAATAATAGGTGATTTGTTCTTGTCTGATGCTTTCTCTGGATCTTGGATTTCAAATGCATATTTATCATTTTCCTTCTTGCTAGTGTTTTTCTTAAGAATTCTCAAGACATCTCTTTCATACTGGCTGTCCATATTCTCGACATATTCATATTTGAAAGCTTTTCTTCTAGCATCAACTTCAGAGGCCAGCTCAAGTTTCTCAAGCTTATTTGAAGAGTTCTTCATCTCATATTTTCCTTCAGTTAAAAGACCAAGCTTCAGAGGCCCATCAAGCTTTTTATTTCTGAACTTGTACATAGAGATATTGTTGAAGATCATTCTTTCAGAAAGAGTCTTATTGCTAACATCATCGCTTCTTCCCTTGTCAAGACTCAGAGACCTCACCAAGGTCGTATTTTCCTTACTCTTGACAGATTTAAACACAGGATCTTTTATTTCTTTATGGAATTTCTTGAGATTCCTCCTATTGTCATATTTTCTCTGATAGATAGAGTCTACATCTTGTAACTCTCCAAAGTATCTAAACGATTTTGGAGTTTTATCTTTTGATGAATCCTTTTCCATAGGATGCACAAATTTAAGCTTTTCAGTGAAGAAGTCTCCAACAAATTCTTTCTCTGTGTCCTTCTTGGCCTGCTTGTTTTGGTCCTTATTTTCTTCTTTATCATCCTTCTCGTCAAAGATTCCTTCGTCTGAACCCCCTCCTGCATTAGAATTTTTGTTGTCTAAATTTTAGCGAAGAATGATTACCTTTTTCTTCAGCAAAGAAGTCATCATCAATGTCATCATGCTTGGGATCTTGCTCAGCAAAGGGGTCGTCCTCAAACAAATCATCCTTTATGGCCTTTTGTTCTTTATTGGTATCTGCCATGAAGAGGTCATCATCTTCATTCTTTGAATTGTTATCTTCATCCTTCTCCTCCATTTGGGCATCAAGCTCACCCTTGTTCTCCTCATTTGGAGTGTTACTAGTCACTTGAGGAGCCCAAGTGGTTGGGTTAATGTTACTCAAATATTTTACAGTCAAGTCCTTCAGATTCTGATCATTACTCTCTTCTTCTTTTGGATAAAGTCTACAATGCTAGTCAGATGTATTCTTACTGAGAAGTGTCTGCATTTCTTTTGATATCTTTAAGCTCCTCTGGTGTTAAATCAGGGATGTTCCATCTGAAAGGTTTCATTTCAAATTTTTGTTGCTCCTCAGAAGTCAAATTTATTGGCTCTTTCTTGGTATCCTTTTCCAAACTCTCCTTGTTTAAATCTTTGCAAATTTCATTGAGTGCATTAGCTCTCTCAGCAGTAGTGAGGAGCAAATTTTCTTTCCTTAGTGCAAAAGTGATTGTTGGAATATCCTAATCAGATAAAACCAATTTCTTACATTTTCACTAGGTTGAGTAAATTTAGCCTTGGATTTCTCTAACTTCTCTTTCTCTTCCTAAAGATTACCTATAAAAGTTTACTCTTTCTTTTCTTTCTTCTTCATCTCTTTTCTTCTCATCTAGTTCTCTCAACATTCTAGATCTCTTAAAATCCCTCTTAAGTTTTGGAATGTTCCTGCAATATTGCTTCTTCTTGAGATCTTGCTTCTTCTTCTCCTTGATCATGGAGTAGTTAGAGGCCAAACCTGAGGGATAAACTAATTAAACTTACTTAAATCTGAATGTAAGTAGATATAATCCTTTAACAGCTCTCTTATAGAGCTTTCTCTGATCGCCTTTAAAAGATTCTCTTCCCTTGGCTTCAAGTCATCTTTAAGTTTCTTCTGATTTTCATAATTTGCCTCCTTATTTAAATCAAGCAGCTTATTTTCCATCTGCTTATAGTTGTACTCCAGATTCTCCTCGATAATCTTTGGGTTTCTGGGGTACAGGATCTCTGACATTCTGAATCTGATGCCTCCCTTCTTAGACCTGAAAAGAACAGGAATCTTATACTCAACATTTGGATTATCTTTAATGAACCTCTCCATATCAATTAAGTCGAGTTTGATTGATGAGCGAGAACTCTAAATCATGAGAAGCCAAACTTATCATGACTTACTCTCTGATTTGGCATGGATGATCCCATATTAGCTCCTTTTCTGGATATCCCTCTCTTCATTGGTACTGCAAAAGTCCCTTCTAAAGGATGTATTAGACCATATTTTCTTTTTTGAGTCATAAGACCAGTTGCTTACCTGACTTCTTTTTATTGGCTTTTTCTCCAGAATCATTTGAGTCTCCATCATCAGAGACGCTTGAGCCTAGGTCTGATGCATTCTCGCCTTGATCTTCGCCTCCACCCATCAAATAGTCCATGTCCAGGCCGGTGTCAACTATATGAGTGAGAATTGGTGCAATGTCTGAGCTTACCTCCAAAACCTGATAGCGTTGGAATCCCTATATAACCAGTTAGAGTTAATTATCACAGAGAAATCGTGGTTGTCCATTCGACAAAGACAACTAAGAATTTTACAGTATTTAAAAATTTGTAATTTTGAGTTAAAATTTTCTCAGAAATAGCAAAAATGGCTGACATTAGGGATGAAAGTTAGAAATTGTTTGAATTTTAATTCTGCGGCTTTATTTTAAATATATTTAAATCTTATTTAAGCTTTATTATTTATTTTTTAATTCTTGAATGAACTTTCTACTATCAAAGCACAATGCATCCGCAAACTCGATCATTTTTGAACCAAATAATTAGTAACAAAATTTAGCTGTGTTTTGTTCAAAGCTCGATTACATTATCCAATTTCGTAAAACTTTCAAAGGAGAGGCTTACCTAGTAATTCTTCCATATTTTGTGCCATTTTATATGTTCTACAAAATATTAGAGGTTTCTGAATATATAATACCTCCTTCAAAGCTTAATTAAAAATTATGGTTGCCTAATTTTTCGATAATTACAAATCTTCAACCAGAATAACTAATTTAGGGGTTTTGGGGTTTTGGGGTTTTGGGGTTTTGGGGTTTTGGGG